ATGTCTTTGCCTTTGGAGTATCAGAAGTGATTCACAACAACGAGGTTCAGTCGACCTGCGCGGTCGCCCAGCTGTTCAGTAGATTGGGTTTGTAAATGGTGAGCTGATGAAGGGCCGGTCTGGGCTGTAACTACTGGGGCAATGCGGCTCAGAGTACAAGCTCCGACTCAGAATTTCTTAGCCGTTCTGGCTCAGCGCTTTACGATTTCACCCGTGCTGCGCTTTCCTTGGCAAGCGCCTCTTGCCAGTGCGATGCCCTGAAATCCGACAAGGAGGTGCTGGAGCATGCCTTTCGGCCGGGGGCCCCGGATAGAAGCAGACAGCGGCCTCCTCTCCCCTATAGTTCTTGGCTTGATACTCAGTCAGTGAGCAGCAGAGGTTTCTCCATTCATCTTTTTTTGGGACAAGGGCACGATGGACCAAAGCCTCACATTGGCTGAAACTGGAAACTTGACAATACCGACTACTAGCACTCGAAAGTGGGAGGCGCGTGGCAGGAATCACAACAACTCTTGGTAGCAAATGCGGCGATAAACCGCAGCAGAGAGCGTGGCTACCTTGTTTTCTTCGTTCACGAGCCGAGCTTGGTCGAAAAATGGGGCACACGGCTGCAAACACGTGGGGCAGCCGGGCAGTCTGAGAAGTTACTGCTGCCCTAAACCCTAAACCCTAAACCCTCAACCCTCAACCCTAAACCCTAAACCTAAACCCTAAACCCTTAACCCCAATCCCTGAGGACCAAGGACAAGGAGATGTTTTGGCCCTTCTGGCCCGAGCGGAAAGCGAGGAGAGCTTCAACCGTCAGCCCTATGGGGTTTAGGGTTTAGGGTTTAGGGTTTAGGGTTTAGGGTTTTGTTCACGATAAGGGACACTGCGTAAAGAGGCCGAAAAAGGTGGAGCCTTCGTTTCAAAGAGCGTCTGCGGCAGGATCTGCTCATGGAATACCTGGAGGACGACAAGCCCACGCACGACTGGCTCAGCTCGAAGATTCAGGACAAGGCCGCGGAGGGAGAAAGGGAAGGATCCTTACAGTAAGGGAGGGAACGCCGCAGAGTAACCGTAGGCTGAATCACGGGAGCACGGGCAGAGTGATAAGTACGAATGGGGGGGGGATTCCCCCCTCCCCCCACTCCCCCCCCACAAAAAAAAAAAACAAAACAGGGCAAGGCAGGAGAGACGGACGAAGAGAGGTTCCTCGAGCCCTTTTGGGGAACGTTCGCAGAGAGTTCCATATGTGGCGGAAGGGACACCTTGCAACAGGTGTCAGCGCTGCGACGGCTCGCCCAGCGCTTCCCCGCATTCATGGTGAAGATGGTGACCAGCGGGGCGCTGAAGTGGCGATGGCACCTGGGACATCAGCACTTGATATTTTTCTCGAAGGCTGGCGCTTCCTTTTTTGAAGAGATGCAGCGCGTCTGTTGTCTTACGAAGTGGGGACCGTGGGACAGTCAGGCCATTTGGAGTGGCAAGAGCAGCTTAGGTACTGGGTCAATGAGATTTTGGAGAAGGCGGCAGCCTCAGGAAAAGTAGGAAAAGTTTACCTGTTTTTCGACTTGCATCCACACGTAGCGACGTAGCGCACCGGCTTTGTGATCAAGGCTTTGGGCGCCAAGCCTTGTTGCACAGAACTTTTCATCATGCATTGGGATGTTCCCCCTTGTACTAACAGATTCTCCTACCCCCCTACAGGTATTATACTCCCCTAACAGTCCTTCATAGGGATTGTAAGCGGGGGGGTACCTCCGGTCCCAGGTACACCATGGACGACTCCCAGATCAAGCCCGCTGAGCTGGGCCTGCTCCAGGGCAACCCACCCGAGAAGCTCAAGGACGACAACCCGCGCCTGGGGCCCGCAAGTGGGGTTTGGGGCCTGGGATTGCGCAAAGATTTGTTCGATTTAACTAAACCCTAAACCCTGAGCCTCCCTTTGTAGGTCTACCCAAGCAAGCAAAGACCATTATGTCCGGAGCCGGCGCGCTCGCAGCGCCTGAACCACCCAAAGTCCTCAACAATTTCGGCGCTATATGGAGGCGCCTCCGTTCGTACCGGGACAAGTCTGGCCGGGAAGCTTCCAAGCTGCACTCAGCGATGGGAACTGATTAGTTGTACTCTTCCATCATGAGGGTCTAAGCCCTAAACCCTAAACGCTGCGCCTCAAGAAGAAGTACAACCTTGGACCCTTTGCTTGGTCTTTGTATCTGTAGTGTTTTCTGATTGTTGTATGTATGTATGTATGTATGTATGTATGTATGTATGTATGTATGTATGTATGTATGTATGTATGTATGTATGTATCTGTATATATATATATATGCATCAGCACCCGTACGGATTCTTCAGAGTGAGAAGAGTGCGGCCTCAAGACCCACACAGAACCGACACCCGCGAAACCAATAGGGTCACGGGTCGCAGAAGACCTAAGTTACGCACGTAAGATACACATGTAAACACACACACACACACACACACACACACACATGCATTCACTGTACGCTGTTGCGGGCAGGACAAAATGATCTCCAGACTCCCATCCAGAGAGGAACTAGTGGTACCGTCGCTACTGTGTATTTCTGTGACTGTGATTGTCATAGACTGCAAGAGAGGCCCCCGAAATCGTGATGCACACTTTGAAGCACTAACAATGAACATATCTAAAGGTCCAAAGCTGCCTGACATGACGCAACCAAGGCGGTGGGCCAATCTTCTGGTATGCTTGGCCATGTGCGCCAGCTGCCCGGGCACCGTTGTGGGTCACGCACCATACCCCTCTCACCCTTAGTACGAAGTATTCCGTAGAAGAGACCACACATGTACACGGACAGATTCAGTATTGGGGGGTGGGGGGCGTTGGATGTTGAAAATATCAGGGGAGGATGAGTTGGGACTATTCAGGATGAGTTGGGCCTGCTTCCTTGCTTGGAGCTGCCCAGAACTTTGGGAATTGAGGATTCCGGAGTTGGTTATTGGGCCAAGCCAGGAAGCTGCCTGTCTAACTGATTCAGTCAGGGTTAATTGTCCCCGAGTGGTTGCAGAGACATGGAGATCAGAGAGCTTGTCGGCCTTGATCCCATGAAAGGGATGGATGTTGGGCGAAGTCCTGCCCTCGGGCCCCTCTTTGTCTTGCGAGGCTTACGCATTAAGGTTTAGGCTTTAGGGTTTAGGCTCTTGCGGCTTAGGGCCTCGGTGAGACTTGGCCTGGGGGGCGTGGGGAGCTGGCCAGTTGCACGAGCGTCCATCTGAGCCCTAAACCCCAACCCCCAAACTCTCGACCCGAAGCCTGAACGATCGCGGCCCCCAGCGCTTGCTCATTAAACGAATCTTAAGCCTTACGCTCGAGATCCTCACTCACGATCCTCTGCAGGTGCTTTAAGCACGTCTACCAGAACCCCACATTTAGTTCATGGTTTATCGTCTTACAATCCTATTTTGGCCGTTTGTAAAAAAATCGCGAAATATTTCCAAAAATGCCTTTTTGGTTGGCAGGGCGAGGAGCCGGCGCAACATTCTGGCCTTTCAGCCTAAGCCCTAAATCCCGAGTTCCTAAAAGACCCAAGCTGCGGAGGCTGCGCGGATGGCCCAACGCCCCAGGCAGTTCAGCTGAAGCTTGTTGTGCTGAAGCATACTGCGCTGTCGCACACGAAGTTCCTCCTGCTGGCCATACCCTCAGCGGCTGATGTCAGAGGACTTGCAAACCTTACCATGAGACGCAAGCTTTCGAGTTGTCGTTTGTGAACCGGTGACACTGGGAGGGGGTGCGCTTTGGATTTTTGAGGCTTGATGTGTGGGGCCTTGCCCATCTCGCAGCAGCGGAGGTTCTCTTGGTGCTCACGGATGTGAATGTCAGCCCAGGTGCGCGACTTGCAGGTGGGAGCGCGCTTACCCCAAAACGGGCGGGCCGCCTTAAAAGGAACCCAAAAGTGGCGCCATATTTTAGAGGCGTGACCCAATGACTTCGTTGTTCGAAGGGCTACGCAGCCCCCGCCTCGGCCGCGGGCCCATTCGGAAGGAAGGGCAATCGGAAGATATCGGAAGGGCTCTCTGAGACTGTGTGGAATAAAACAACTAGGGGAACTCTTCAGAAAAATGGTTGCGGGTGGAATCTGTGTTCTTTTCTGAAGCCTACCAGTATCCCGTGGTGGTGTTGCGCATGTGCACCTCGGCCGGCGAGCCAAGATGGTGCCACAGCCCTAAACACTCCTTAAACACACTTTATGCCGTAAATCGCAGGGCTTTCCGTCCCCCTCTCACCAGATTCGCTAAGAGGCAACATCCCTCCTGGTTCGCTGGAGATGGTCCACACCTTAAGCCCAAGACCTGACACATCGATTGGCGTCCAGTGCGTCCACATTGGGAAACTGCATTCCTCTGGATGCGTCGAAGTCAAAACCTGAAACCTAAACCCAAATCCGATAGCCTGAATTCATATTCAGCGTGAACTCCTGAAAAGCCCAGGCCGGTGAATCTGATGAGGCATGCCTTCCAGAGACGAGTACTGTCGACCGCGCCGCTGCCAAAACATCCGAGCCTGCTATTGTCTGGAGGCTTTTCAGGATGCTGTGGATGTGCAGCAATGTCATGACACATGCACAAGGGCAAGCATATCTCCGCGGAAGCTCCCGGAAGAGCTACATGGCGCACATGCTGTGTAAGCAACTATACTGCTGCAACACAAAGGTTATCTATTGTAGCAAGCACTTTTAGTACTAGCGCCCATCTCGGCTCGGAACGGGGGTTGTACCAAACCAGGCTCCCCTATCTGACCCTCCCATGGAGGGTCTCCATTTTCCGCGTTTGACAGTCCCTCGTGGCGCCTAAGGTTTCTCGTCTACCTCGAATCCTGAAATTTTCTGGTGCTTGAATTGCAAGTCTTGATTTCAGAGCCCGATCTCGCTGTCAACGGTAGCACAACTGGTGTCGACTCGCAGCAGCTCAAAGGTCATCTACGCCTGTTTGTGTGAGGCCACGTGCCCATGATTTCATCTTTGTAACTGCAATCTGGAATGTCTTGGCTTCCGTTGCCATGGCTCCCGCTGCTCGTAGCACTGCTGAGCACAGAGGGCTCGGCACAGAGAAAGGCCGCGCGTTGGGGCTTAAAGTTCCGGGCTTTCTGAACCCTACACCCTAAGCAAAAGGCTCCCAAACGGATAAGTCCTGAACCCGAAGCCCCGTAATTGCTCGGGAGCGGAAGCAATGGCCCCTGATGCAGGTGGTTTGTGCTCCCAACTGCCGCTCCTGCACAAAATCGTATACCTGCGACGCCTTGATTATTTCATTTGCTTGAGGACCTTAAGCCCTGGAGGAACCTCCAAAACTCCAAGCCTGCAATACTCCAACACTCCAATACTCCAATACTCCAATACTCCAACACTCCAATACCCCAATACTCCAATACTCCAAGTCCGAAACCCATGGTCAGCACAGTCATCCGGAGCGGAGCACCAACCACACCGTCGAAACCCCAAAAACTTAGGGTTCGAGATTCTGGTGCTGGTTCTTTTGGAGCGGATTGGGAAGGAGACAAAAGCAGGTTTAGGAAGTTGAGCTACAAGCCGCAGAGGCGCCATAGCCCAAACCCAACAACCCCGAACTGCCCCAGGCCAAGGGCCGAAGTCCTCCCCAAGCGGACACTCCATTAGAGGGCCCCTGCACAATCTCAGAAACCCCAACCATCCTCCAAGGATCAATGTTTGGATCCCTTCGCCCTGAAGTCGGATCGGACGTGTGGACCCTGCAGCAGTAACTGCCAGAACTGCAGGAATTGGGGCCGCTTGGCCCCTTAGAGTGCTGGGGCCTGTTGGAAGATCTTCCAACAGGGCATAAGATGCGCCGCTTAAGGTCCCCAAACCACGATCGTGCTTTGGGGCTTTGAGACTTGCGGGGTGAAACCTCCAATTCTCAAGCCGGTTCTCAGGTTCGTGGGTTCCAGGGTCTCTTACGAATTGAAGGGGGTGTAAGGATTTGGGGAGTTAAAGGGACACTTGCATTGTGGGCCACGTAGGGAGGCCTCCTGACGCAAGGCCCTGGGAAGTGCGACGTCTGCAGTGTGGGCTACGGAAGAACATCTTCGGGGCAGTGCTACTCAGCTGCACAACCGCGATTCAGGGCTTAGGGTTCAGTTCACGTCCATCTTTTTGGGGGCTGAACCCTTGAGCTAAAACTAGCGCGCGCCCTGCGTGCGAGAATTCATCCGTGGCATCTGTTCCCCTCGACCCTGACAGCCTAACACTGTTGTCCAATCTCTTGACGCATGGCTGTTTGTCTACAAGCTGGCAGCCACCCCATCGCAGCAGCCTGAAATTCCAGGGTTTGCAGGGGGCTCTCCGAGCTTCCTTCTCGAGCCATTCGGCCTGGTTGGTTCAAGCAAATTGCACTTTGCTCTCAGTTCTTCTTTTTCTTGTGTTGAGTAGGCAGAAGTTCCAACCGGGTTGAATGTATACACATGAAAGCATTGCTTGCAGCCGCCTCGGAAACTCAACTCGACATGCACTGGCACACACGGGCGAAGCAGCTCTTGGAAATTGTGGATTTGGGTTTTTTGGGTCTGGGATCCAGAGTCTAGGGTTTGTTTCGGGTTTGGGGTGCGGGGCCTTAAACCGCAAACCCTAAACCCTAAACCCTAAACCCTAAACCCTAAACCCTAAACCCTAAACCCTAAACCCTAAACCCTAAACCCTAAACCCTAAACCCTAAACCCTAAACCCTAAACCCTAAACCCTAAACCCTAAACCCTAAACCCTAACCGGGGGGTTCTTTTGTTTTTTTGATATTCGGTTCGAGGCCAGAGCTGCGCCAGGGACTGCATCAGCTGCAGCTACGCGGGCGCTGGGAAGTGCGACTCCTGCAAGAGCGGCCGCTCGGATGCTGGGGGCTTTCGGGTTTTAGGGTTTATGGTCAAGAGTTTTCGGGTTTAGAGTTTTAGGGTTTAGGATAATTTTTTTGAGGCTCTTGGGCGCCTTAATTAAGCTCTGAGTTGAAATCTGGTTGCAAAACCTGAGAACAAGAAACCCTCAACTTGGAGAAAACTCAAACCCAGCATCGCTTGTTCAAAGCTTGAGAGTGCACGTGCTATGCGCCGGCTTTGGCGAGGGCGTTTTTGCAAAGTCCGGGCTTCTAACGCTTACCATTGGGGTTCCCTGAATCTCTGGCAGCCTTTAAACGCCCAAACTGAATCTCCAGTGCCGCGAGGCTACGAAGTGACACGCGCCGGCGAGTGCAAGACGCACGGTTTTGTTCAGCGGCACAGTGTTGGGAAACCCATCCCGAAAATCTAAGCTAAAAACTGAACCGCACCAGGTTTTAAGGCGCCTCAAAAGTTTCAAAGCTTAGAGCTGTGCGTTGGACCGTTTGACCCTATCAGGCCCTCGACCTCCTTGAGACCCCCAAGCCCGGGAGCCTCCACAGCAACCGACTTTTTCGCCCCTCAAGGACATGCGCCACAAACTGCCGCGACTGTCGGCAGGCAGGCGGCGGCCTCTGCGACGTGCCCTGGCTTTTGCAGTGCTTTTCAGGCCTCTTTATTTCGAGGCCGGACATACAAAAAGCCTACTTAACCCTACAGACCCAACATCCATGCTCTTCAACCTCACAACCACCGTCGTCAAAGAACTCGGGTGCCCCAAGACAAACCGGATCTCAAAGGTCTGCAAATCCGGCTACGGCCTGACGCCGGGTCAGACCTGCGACACTTGCGCCCGCCGGTGTCAAAGATGCGAGCGAGCGGGAGCCGGACGCAGCTGGGGCTTGAGCAGTGAGAGCTGTGAGAGCATTCAAGGTTTAGGGGTGTAGGTGGGGTGGGGAGGCTTTGGGGCCTTTAGGGCCTTTTGAAGGACGGCAATGATGCTCCAGCATCCGGGTTTTTCTTGCTTGGACTACCCCGACACGTCCCGAGAACGAAGGGACACAGAGGATCTTGGCAGTAGGGTTTCATGTCGATTGGAGCTTCAGACTTCAGGGTACTCTCTTGGACTTATGGAATGCTATGCGTTCTGCTCTCACAAACCTTTTTGTTCTCACAGCTGAAAATCAAAGAGATATTGTGGGCTTAACCTAAACAACCCTCAAAACCCTCCTCAGGCATGGCGCGGCCCCGCACCCTACAGTACTCATCCCCAAGCTCTCAACCTTGTAGGTTGCTGGGTCATCTGCCAAGGATTGTCAGCTCCCTAACTCTGACTCCTGCATTCAAGAGTTTGGGGGTGAGGATGTGGCGCTTCGTGTTTAGGGCTCTGCTCAAAGATTGCGAAGTTTCTCCCTGGGGTTTGGAGGGTTCAAAGAGTAACAGCGCCCTACAATGCCCTACGTCCTAAAACATCGTAAAAATCCTAAATCTTACTAAGCCCGAAGCCTATTGAAAAGCCCGAAAGCTTCTGTCTTCTAGCCATGTGCACCACCGCCGAGGCTGCGATCTCTGCAGCTCTGGATACGAGCTGTCACGCACAAAGCGACATGCCGAGCAAGAGGTTTCAGGGTCTATAGGGTTTAGGGTATGCGTCTTGAACGAAGAAAGCATCTAAGCATGCTTAGTTTTCCCCTTCGTGCTGGCAAGCTTGCTGGGGGTATCTAAGCCCACACGGTCTAGTCGGCGCGGGGAGGTTCATGAGAGCAAGCATAGGGGTTAATCACGTCAACCTCATGTACACGAGCCGATGTAAGCAGGGAAGTTTACTAATCGGGTGGCAGGTATTATCTGGGATGGACTGGTCTATTTTGGGAGGCGTGCGTACATGGAACTACCATCAAGAAATTTCTGCTATCACCCTTGGGATGGCTCTGTGCCAGGACCTGTCTCAAATGCGCGCCCAACTGCGAAACCTGCGCCAATGCTGGAGAGGGCAAGTGCGATCGCTGCAATGACGGCTGCTGGTGTGCAAAGCAGCAGTCGTTATCCGTGGGTTTTGGGGGTTCGGGTTTTGCGGGAATAAACCCACAGTACTAAGCAGAGTCAGAATTCCAGAACCGTTGGGACCGACCGAGCTGCGGGACATCTTGGGGGGGGTTAGCCATTGTAGAGGGGTTGGGGATTTAAAATGTGCGGCTTTGTTCAGCGGAGCCGTTCCCCTTCTCTCAAACGCATGGCGCAAACGAAGTGTCAAAAGACCCCTGAACCCTCAACCTGAACGCTAAGTACCTTAAACCCGAAGCCGTGGCCGTCTCAGAGCCAGGCTATGGACTCACTGCCGACCAGGTTTGCAAGCCATGTCCGCTGGCTGCCCTGGTCGCGACTTTCGGCCTAGCTCGCCATTAGGGTTTAGGGTTTGGGGTTTGGGCTTTGGGCTTTGGGGTATGTGGTGAACCTGTGTGAACCTAAACCCTGCCCCTAAGCCAGCAAGCTCCAATATACTATGTCCCTACCAAGAAAAACCAACCCTTTCAAAACGCGAGCCCAAAAACAAAATGCCACTCAGGCTAAAAGCCCCAGTGGTCTGAGGCTCTGACGGCTGCATCTCCTGTGCAAAGGCAGGGGGCGGTCGCTGTGATCGCTGCAAGGACAGGTATGCCATGACCTTCTCCAAGACTTGCAACTTGGCTGAGAGCGGATGTTTCAGGGGCTCTCCAAGGATTCTGCGCATGCACAAAGAGACCCTCCACTCCGCAGGCTGCTCACCAACACGAAACCAGCATTGATCCCTTGGTAAACTCAATCTTCCCCTAAATCCCTGAGCAGTGCGGCTGCAGTATCTCCGTTGACCAAATCACAATCCCCCCAAAACCACACTCAGGCCCAAGAAATTTGTTGTTCATGCAACTCTTCGACAAAAACTTCCGAAACCCGAACCCCGGCACGGAACCAAGACGAGGGCTCGACAAGAACTGGAGATGTGTCTTTGTTCTTTGTGGTGCTTTACTGGAACTTTAGATCCTTAGCCTTTTTGGGCTTATTGGGTTTCTTAATGAGGCAGCTAAAAGTTTAGTTTTTTACTACCCTCCTAAGTGCAGCCAAGTGTTGATCCCCCCCTTGGTGTGGCCCAAAACGCCTCGGCCACCTCAGAGGTGAGGCGTGCGCCCCACAGTGCAAGAGCTGCCTGAGAGCTGGCCCCGGGCTTTGCGACCAGTGCCAGGTGGGTTTAAAGGAAGTTTAGGGTTTAGGGTTTAGGGAGGCTTTGAGAGGGGTTGGAGTTCAAGGTTGAAAGCTTAACAGCACAAAGGCCTCAAACTAGGCTGACACAATAGCCCTCTGAAATCCGCACCTGAATGAGCCCCTAAAGTCTGCACCATTGACCCTTGATGCACAATGAAAGATCCCGGGTTTAGGCTGTAAGGTCCTAAGCGCCTCGAACGAAGTTCTTTGGGCATGCCGGACAGGCACCAAATCTGCTCACCCGCAGCCAGAAGTGCGGGCCATGTGCAGCGAACTGCCAGTCTTGCAGTATCGGGTTGACCTGCGACGTCTGCAATCCGCACCTAGGGGCGGCTCTTCAGCAATGTTTTTGGACGTCCTTGGAAAGGGGCTTCAAACCTTGTAGGTTTTTGAAATATTTGGATCGTGCAAGACAAGCACCAGGCAGTATGGCCTCACAGCAACCTGGGAGTGCGACCACTGCTACTGGAACTGCCGAACCTGTCGCAGGGCAGGGGCTGGGAAATGCGACGAGTGCGAGCCATTCTACGTCCTGACTTGGGACAAGAAGTGCAAGCCATGTGCCGAGCACTGCAGCAGATGCGACCCTTGCAGCCGACACGAACCCTCAAGTTGGGACAGCCCTATAACGAAACGATCCCTAAGATGTGAGGCTTTAAACCCTTTTTTATGATGTCCTAGTTGGTCCCCGAGGATCGGGCGGGGGCATACAAGTGCGACAGCTGCAATCGCGGGTACGGGCTCACGTCAGACTCGACTTGCGCACCTTGCGCCGCCGCGTGCCAGCATTGCGACCAGGCTGGCGCGGGGCGTTGTGATGTTTGCACCTTGGAGACGACACATGAGCACTCTTATATCCGGGCGGTGTGTTTTTTTTGTACAGTATATGTGTACACATATTTATTTCTATATATACGCACATACTTGTTCATTCAACACTACAAGATATGAGCCCTAAACCCTTCTAGAGCTTGGTGACCAAAGGCAAGCCGCGGTTTGCGCTTTCGCCATCCAAGCTCTGTGAGCCCTGTGCGGACAACTGCCTGAGCTGTGGGAAAGCCGGCCCTGGCTTGTGCGACGAGTGCCCTGGTAAGCCCCGGGCGCCGTCCAGCGCGCAAGTTGTTGATTCACCTTTTTCTCGTGTAGTGTACGTATAATCCCTCAATCAGAAAAGCAAGCGTATGCTATGCCTCACAAGACAAGTGAGGTGCGAGTCCCCCTTGGAACTAACGCAGTCGAAGAAGTGCGCGCCCTGTGCTCCCAACTGTAATGGCTGCAAGAAAGCCGGCGGCGGCTTCTGCGATGTGTGCGTGCAGGGCTATGGGCTCACCCAAGACAAGATGTGTGGGCCTTGCGATCCTGTAACGAAGCGGTGTTTCAGCTGCAACCGGGCTGGTGCCGGTCGATGCGATGCATGCAAGCAGGGATATGAGCTTTCAAAGCAATCGGGCACCTGCATGCAGTGCGCCGATGATTGCGTCACGTGCCAGGCTGCTGGCGAGGGGAAATGCGACTCGTGTGCCACGAGGTTTGCACTCGATTTGGGCAAGACATGCAAACCCTGTGCCGCGCATTGCGTCGCCTGTACCACAGCCGGCCCGGGCAAATGTGATCGATGCGACGAGGGCTACGCACGAAGCCCTGACCAGTCATGCCTGCCATGTGCTTCCAGGCGGGTAGATCTCTCGAGACGATTGCACCCTTTTTGGCCCCCAAAACCCAAAGTGCCGGAACCGCTCCGTTGCAATAAACTGACCCTAATTGTTTGAACCACCCCCCAGGTGTGTGGAGTGCAAGGTTAGAGGACCGGGATCCTGCGACGATGGTGGCTGCGCGGCACCCTACGAGCTTACGCCCCAGCACCAATGCGCACCCTGTGCTGATCACTGCCTCAGCTGTAAGCAGGCTGGCGGTACGCTGTGCGACTTCTGCGATGACCAGCACGGGCTCACTCCGGAAAAGAAGTGCGGGGAATGCGCTGAGAACTGCGTCTCTTGCAAGAAAGCTGGTGCTTACAAGTGCGACGATTGCCGGGAGAACTTCGTCCTTACTCCTCAGCAGACTTGCGCGCCATGTGCCAGCAATTGCCTGCGCTGCATCAATGCTGGCCCCTACAAGTGTGATGCCTGTCGGCCGTTGTACGGCCTGACCGCACCCTAGCTGTTCCTGGAATCTTCTCTGTTCTTGTCAGCATCTTATACAACAGACCTTTCCCGGCGAAGACCCCAAACCAGTAAGATTATGGTAGAGAAAGGGAAAGCGCGTGAAACAGCACCGCGACATAAAATCTGACCTGCGCTTCGGGTTAACCCAACCTTCAGTGCTGACCCCTTAATGGGTGAGTCATGCAGCACCATGAGTCAGAACCCAAAGCCATAGACATGATTCATGCATGTCTTGACCCGAATAAACAGGAGCAAGCGCAAAAACATCCTATGTTTTCCCAACGTCTGCACTTCAGATCACTGTAGAAGCAAAGACATGTCCCTTAGAGTCTTTGAGGTTTGTCGTGTGTCCCCTCCCTTCGTGCTCGCAGGTTGAGGGCCCCTCGAGATTGGGCCTGAAAGCCCTAGAACCATTACGTGCTTGAAGGGCCGCGCGTGCGAGCTTTGAAGGTTTGAGAGAGGCGTCCTGGTTGGTTCTTGTGTGCGCTAAAAGACTGAGCGTGTTCAACTAGCATCCTGCTTTTTGGGGACCGAGCGTACTCAAATAGCGTGTTCAACTAGCATCCTACTTTTTGGGGCCCGAGCGTACTCAAACAGCACCCAAGCTTTGGGATTCAGAAAGCTGTAGAAGTAAAAACACATCCCTTCGAGGTTTGTCGTATGTCCCCTCCCTTTGTGCTCCTAGGGTTTGCTGAGGGCCCTAGGCCCTAGAAGTTTGTCGCACATCCCCTCCCTTCGCGCTCGAAGGGTGACATCGTAAGCAACTGGCACCCCATCAGGGCGCGATGACCAAATCGCCCGTGCCATGGCGCGAGCTATTCGGTCGCAGGGAAAAAATCCATGGTGCTTTAACACAGTAAATCACAAGTTTTCAAGGCTGGTCGCAGGGCATATGTGAGCCGCGACTACTTTACAGCACAGGGATAAACATCTCAATGTCGTTAAGCCACCTCGTTTAGGAAACGTGTTCTTCCGGTCGCATGGGCATATTCACATCCCTTATAGAGCCGCGATTACGTTACCAGCACAGGTTTTGGGTTTCATAGCAAGCAACTAGCACCCCATCTGTGCCCTGATGACCAAAGAGCTCGCGCCAGAGCTCCGCCCTCTCCCCCATACAATGGATAACTTGCAAGGAGCAGTTCGCCACGCGAGGCTCCGAGGCATGACGGTTTTTGCTTCTTGGCAAGCTTTTGTATTTCCCAAATGCCCGGAGAACAATCCAGACACGCTTTCTCGATGTTTTCCATGGTCGGTGCTTGTGCCTTTGGTTGCCAAAAGTAAAAAGCCAGGGCGCAACAACACCCCAGGCGCGAGCTGTTTGGTCGCCCGAGCTATTTGACCGTACTCAAATAGCACCCAAGTTTTGGGGACCGAGCGTGTTCAAGTAGCACCTTGTTTTTTGGGGACCGCGCGCACTCAAACAGCACCCAAGCTTTGGGGACCGAGCGTGTTCAACTAGCATCCTGATTTTTGGGGACCGAGCTTACCCCAATAGCACCCAGGTTTGGGGACAGAGCGTGTTCAACTAGCATCCTACTGCACTTTCAGAACACTGTAGAAGTAAAAAACATGTCCCTTCGAGGTTTGTCGTATGTCCCCTTCCTTTGTGCACGTAGGGTCTGGTGAGGGCCCTCGAAGTTTGTAAGCACCTAGCACCCCTTCTGCGCCCTGAGACCAAATAGCTCGCGCAACGGCGCGAGCTATTTGGTCGCGCAGGGGGAACATCTATGCTGTTTTCACACACTAAGACACGTTTTCAGGGCTAGTGTTCTGCGCCCAAAAACCTGTGCTGGTAGCGTCATCGTGGCCCTAAAGCCCACCTGCATTTCAAAACGGCTCCAAAAGCCCGTGCTGGTGACGTAATCGTGGCTCCAGAACCCACCTCGCTTTAAAACGGTTGAGGGCCCTTACCCTACGAGCACGAAGGGACTTGCGACAAGCATCTAGGGCCCTCACCAAACCCTAGCACGAAAGGAGGGGACACATGACAAACCTCTAAGGGAGATGTTTTTACTTCTACAGTGGTCTGACAGTGCAAACGTTAGGAAAAACATTGGATTGGTTTTGCACTTGTACACCCTATGGAGCCGCGATTACGTTACCAGCACACAAGGAATGCACATCTCTGTGTATTTAAACCGCCTTTCTTTAGGGGCTGCGAAACCTTTTCGCACAGCAAGAAGAGTTGGGTAAAACCCAGCTTGCTCTGCGAAAAGGTGCTATACAAGCGAAAAAACTTACTATGTTGTTCCTAACGTTTGCAACTCTCAGAACACTGTAGAAGGACAAACATATCCCTTAGAGTCTTAGAGGTTTGCCGTATGTCCCCTCACTTCGTGCTCGTAAGGTTTGGTCATGGCCCTAGAAGTTTGTCGCATGTCCCCTCCCTTCCTGCTCGTAGGGTGGGGGCCCCTAAAGGTTAGACCTGAAAGCCTGCGCGTGTTCAACTAGCACCCTGCTTTTTCGGGACCGAGCGTACTCACATAGCTCCCAAGTTTTGGGACCGAGCGTGTTCAACTAGCATCCTGCTTTTTTGGGACCGAGCGTACTCAAATTGCACCCAAGTTGTGGGGACCGAGCGTGTTCAACTGGCATCCTGCTTTTTGGGGACCGAGCGTACTCAAATAGCACCCAAGTTGTGGGGACCGAGCGTGTTCAACTAGCATCCTGCTTTTTGGGGACCGAGCGTACTGAAATAGCACCCAAGTTTTGGAACCGAGCGTGTTCAACGAGCGTACTCAAACAGCACCCAAGTTGTGGGGACCGAGCGTGTTCAACTAGAATCCTGCTTTTTTGCGGACCGAGCACACTCAAATAGCACCCAAGTTGTGGGGACCGAGCGTGTTCAACTAGCATCCTGCTTTTTGGGGACCGAGCGTACTCAAATAGCACCCAAGTTGTGGGGACCGAGCGTGTTCAACTAGCATCCTGCTTTTTGGGGACCGAGCGTACTCAAATAGCGCCCAAGCTTTGGGGACCGAGCGTGTTCAACTAGCATCCTGCTTTTTGGGGACCGAGCGTACTCAAATAGCGCCCAAGCTTTGGGGACCGAGCGTGTTCAACTAGCATCCTGCTTTTTGGGGACCGAGCGTACCGAGCGTCAAATCAAATAGCACCCAAGCTTTGGGGACCGAGCGTGTTCAACTAGCATCCTGCTTTTTGGGGACCGAGCGTACTCAAATAGCACCCGAGCGTGTTCAACTAGCATCCTGCTTGGGGACCGAGCGTGTTCAACTAGCACTTTTCTGGGACCGAGCGTACTCAAATAGCACCCAAGCTTTGGGGACCGAGCGTGTTCAACTAGCATCCTGCTTTTTGGGGACCGAGCGTACTCAAATAGCACCCAAGTTGTGGGGACCGAGCGTGTTCAACTAGCATCCTGCTTTTTTGGGACCGAGCGTACTCAAATAGCACCCAAGTTGTGGGGACCGAGCGTGTTCAACTAGCATCCTGCTTTTTTTGGACCGAGCGTATTCAAATAGCACCCAAGTTGTGGGGACCGAGCGTGTTCAACTAGCATCCTGCTTTTTTGGGAGCGAGCGTACTCAAATAACACCCAAGTTGTGGGGACCGAGCGTGTTCAACTAGCATCCTGCTGTTTGGGGACCGAGCGTACTCAAATAGCACCCAAGTTGTGGGGACCGAGCGTGTTCAACTAGCATCCTGCTTTTTTGGGACCGAGCGTACTCAAATAGCACCCAAGTTTTGGGGACCGAGCGTGTTCAACTAGCATCCTGCTTTTTTGGGACCGAGCGTACTCAAATAGCACCCAAGTTGTGGGGACCGAGCGTGTTCAACTAGCATCCTGCTTTTTTGGGAGCGAGCGTACTCAAATAACACCCAAGTTGTGGGGACCGAGCGTGTTCAACTAGCATCCTGCTTTTTGGGGACCGAGCGTACTCAAATAGCACCCACGTTTTGGGGACCGAGCGTGTTCAACTAGCATCCTGCGTTTTGGGGACCGAGCGAACTCAAATAGCACCCAAGTTTTGGGGACCGAGCGTGTTCAACTAGCATCCTGCTTTTTGGGGACCGAGCGTACTCAAATAGCACCCAAGTTTTGGGGACCGAGCGTGTTCAACTAGCATCCTGCTTTTTGGGGACCGCGCGTGCTCAAATAGCACCCAAGTTTTGGGGACCGAGCGTGTTCAACTAGCATCCTGCTTTTTGGGGACCGAGCGTACTCAAATAGCACCCAAGTTTTGGGGACCGAGCGTGTTCAACTAGCATCCTGCTTTTTGGGGACCGAGCGAACTCAAATAGCACCCAAGTTTTGGGGACCGAGCGTGTTCAACTATCACTTTTCTGGGACCGAGCGTACTCAAATAGCACCCAAGCTTTGGGGACCGAGCGTGTTCAACTAGCATCCTTCTTTTTGGGGACCGAGCGTATTCAAATAGCACCCAAGTTTTGGGGACCGAGCGTGGTCAACTAGCATCCTGCTTTTTGGGGACCGAGCGTACTCAAATAGCACCCAAGTTTTGGGGACCGAGCGTGTTCAACTAGCATCCTGCTTTTTTGGGAGCGAGCGTACTCAAATAGCACCCAAGTTTTGGCGACCGAGCGTGTTCAACTAGCATCCTGCTGTTTGGGGACCGAGCGTATTCAAATAGCACCCAAGTTTTGGGGACCGAGCGTGTTCAACTAGCATCCTGCTTGTTGCGTACCGAGCTTACTCCAATAGCACCAAGGACCGCACTGTCTCCTCCCTTTGTGCTCGTATGGTTTGGTGAGGGCCCTAAAAGTTTGTCGTATGTCCCCTCCGCGCTCGTAGTGTGACGCGGTAAGCAACTAGCACGTCTTTTTTGCGCCCTGATGACCAAATCGCTCACGCCACGGCGCGAGCTATTTGGTCGCAGGGGAAACATCTATGGTGTCTTAACACGTTAGAACACGTTTTCAGGGCTGGTGTTCTGCACGCAAAAGCCTGCGCTGGTAACGTAATCGTGGCCCCATAACCCGCCTGCCTCCAAGGGCCCTCACCCTACGAGCACGAAAGAAGGGGACGTGCGACAAACTTCTAGGACCCTCACCAAACAAACCCTAGCACGAAGGGAGGGGACAAACGACAAACCTTTACGCAATATGGTTTTACTTCTTCAGTGTTCTGAAAGTGAAAACGAGAACATAGGATGTTTTTGCGCTTGCGCACTAATTATATGGAGCCACGATTACATTACCAGCACACATGGGATAAACATCTGTGTTTACTTAGACCACCTTTCTTGAGGGGCTGTGAAACCTTTCGCAAAGCAAAATGAGTTGGGTAAAAACCCTGCTTGCTCTGCGAAAAGGTTCTATACAAACGCAACAACAGACGATGTTGTTCCTAACATTTGCACTCCCAGAACACTGTAGAAGTAAAAACATATCCTTTAGAGTCTTAGAGGTTTGTCGCGTGTCCCCTCCCTTCGTGCTAGGGTTTGGTGAGGGCCCTAGAAGTTTGCCGCATGTCCCTTCGTGATCGTAGGGTGTGGGCCCCTCGAGATTGGGCCTGAAAGCCCTAGAACCATAACGTGCTTGAAGGGCCCCGCGTGCGAGGTTTGAAGGTTTGAAAGAAGCGTCTTGGCTGGTCCTTGTTTGTGTGCGACAAGACTGAGCGTGTTCAACTAGCATCCTGCTTCTTGGGGACCGAGCGTACTCAAATAGCACCGCAAGTCTTGGGGACCAAGCGTATTCAACTAGCATCCTGCTTGTTGAAGGCCGCGAGTACTCAAATAGCAAACAAGCGTGGGGATTCAAAACACTGTAGAAGTAGAAACACATGCCTCTATTAGAGGTTTGTCGTATGTCCCCTCCTTGGGGTTTGGTGAGGGCATTAGACGCTTGTCGCACGTCCCCTCCCTTCGCGCTCGTAGGGTCACGTCGTAAACAACAAGCACGCCATCTGCACTCTGATGACCAAATAGCTCGCGCAAATGGCGCGAGCTATTTGGTCACAGGGGAAACATGTAACATCCATGATGCTTTCACACGATACACACACACACACACAGACAAGTTTTCACTTCGCGCTCGTAGGGTGACGTTGCAAACAACTAGCACCCCTTCTGCGCCCTGATGACCAAATAGCACGTGTCATGGCGCGGGAAACATCTATGGTGTTTTAACACGTCAAGACGCGTTTTCAGGGCTAGCGTGCTGCGCCCAAAAGCCTGCGCGGATTCGGACCGGATAGCGTAATCGTGGCCTTCTAGGCCGCCTGCATTTTAAGACGATTCCAAAAGCCGTGCTGGGAACATAATCGTGGCCCCATAGCCCGCACTTGAAAACGGTTACGGAACCTCCAGGGCCCCCTACGAGCACGAAGGGACATGCGAGGGGACATGCGACAAACCTCTGAAGGATATGTCGTTACTTCTTGAGTGTTCTGTTTTTCTGCGCTCGTACGCCTTGTGGAGCCACGATTACGTTACCAGCAAGGGATAAACATCTGTTTACTTCAACCACCTTTTTTATAAGGGGCTGTGAAACCTTTTCGCAGAGCAACGAGAGTTGGGTACCTGCTTCCTCTGCGAAAAAGGTTTTATAGTACTTTTGAAGCGCAAAAACATCCTATGTTTTTCCTACCGTGTTCACTTTCAGAGCACTGTAGAAGAAAGGTAAAAGTATCCTTCAAAATTTGTCGCAGAGGGCCCTAGAAGTTTGTCGCATGTCCCCTCCTTTCGTGCTGACGTACTCAAACAGCACCCAAGCCTTGGGATTCAGAACACTGTAAACGAAAAATCATATCCCTTAGGGGTTTGTCGTATGTCCCCTTCCTTTGTGCTCGTAGGGTTTGGTGAGGGCCCTCGAAGTTTGTCGCATGTTCCCTCCCTTCGCGCTCGTAGGGTGACATCATAAGCAGCCAGCACCCCATTTGCGCCCTGATGCGCACATAGCTCGCGCCATGGCGCGACCCATTTGGTCGCAGGGGAAACAAACATCCATGGTGTTTTAACACGTCACAAGGTTTCATGGCTGATCGCATGGGCATATTCACAACACTTATAGAGTCACGATTACGTTACCAGCAAGGGATAAAAATCTCAATGTACTTAAACCACCTCCTTTAGGGAACGAGTTTTGCTGGTCGCGGTTTGCAAGTTGGGATCGACACGGGCACGTTGGCCAGATCCGGGTTTCAAGTTGGCGGGGCCCACAGGGGCATGTTGGCCGGATCCGGGCTCGACCGGGGCATGTTGGCCGGATCCGGGTTTCAAGTTGGGTTCGACAGGGGCATGTTAGCCGGATTCGGGTTTCAAGTTGGGTCCATGGGGGGCATGTTGTTTCAAGTTGTGCTCGACAGGGCCATCGTGGGCCGCATCGGGGGAATGTTGGCCGGATCCGGGTTTCAAGTTGGACCCATCAGGGGCACGTTGGCCGGATCCGGGTTTCGGATCCGGACCATGGGCGGTTTGACTCCCACCCGGCCCCAATTGCGCTCATGATCGGAGACCATGGGAGACCACGGACCCAACCGCGTGACACCACTCTAGCGAACCGCGTGACACTTGTTTCCTGAGGAGAGGACCCCAAACAAGGAAACGCAGATGCTGCGTTGAACAATGAAAGAAAGTGGCGTATCCTACCATATGCGGGGCGTGGGAGAAAGAGAGAAAAAGTAGCCACCCCAAGGACCAAAGTACCTGCGACAAGTGTGCTCCCTCGTGCCGAGACTGCTCCACAGCTGGCGCAGGGATGTGCGACGTCTGCGATTACAAGCTCCTCCTATGCATCCTTTAAGCATCCTTGCATTCTTCGCATACTCGCATCAATAATAACGCTGCTTGATGTAGCTACAGTTTCAGATTCTTTCATCGGGAACGCATCAGGTACGGCCTGACCTCGTCCAAGACCTGTGCTCCTTGCGCCGCGAATTGCCTTGGGTGCGCAAGGGCGGGCGGCGGCCTCTGTGACAGTTGCGAGCACCGCCACGTGTTGACACCGAGCAAGACCTGTGCGCCTTGTGCTACGCATTGCGACCACTGTCAGATAGCCGGCTCTAACAAATGCGACGTGTGCGAGTCCAAGTATGGCCTCACTGACAAGCAGGAGTGTGAGAGTTGCAGCCCAAATTGCGCGCAGTGTGACAAAGCCGGAGCCGGCCGGTGCGACGCCTGCGATCCTGAATACAAGCTCAGCAGCTCTTCAACCTGCGTCAAGGAGTTCCCGTGGCTGACGGTGAGTTTGCTTCTTGTTCTCTTGGGAGGTGGCGTAGCACTCTGGGCCTTCTGCCGCCGGAGCACTGGGGCAAGGGAGCCCAACTTGCTGACTCCGAGCGCCCCCTTTACATACACACCAAGTGCGGAGATTCAGTTGGAGTCTCGGCCCCCCTCCGATGTTGGCAGGTCGTATGCAGCTTGGCAGTCAAAGCACAAACTGGGGGGACCCCTTAAAATGACGCGGTGGTTTGGAGGAGGAGGGATCCTGGGGCGACACCTCTCTAGTTGAGGATGGACGGGGGCTTAGGAGTAAAGTTCAGGATTAGACTCCAGTCAACTCTCTGCCTTTGGGGGGGGCCCTGTTGCTGCTCTTTCTGCTGTGCAAGAAAGGCGCCGCCCCCTGCCAACGGCGGTGGCCCACATGTCGGCAACGGCCAACAGTCGCTTCCAGATTTTGGGGCCAGCGCTCCACCTGCAAAGGAAGGTGTCCAGTCAGCCTCCCGGGCTCCAGAGACCCTGAGCTCGAAAGACCAGGCCCTTCAGGAGGCGATCCTCTTCCCAAGCGGGAAGTGGAAGGGCTATTACGTGCAGCTGGCGGAGGACAAGCTCTGTCCTGAGAAGCATCCCCTGCGCGTGTTCCTTGGAGCCCAAAAGTTGATTAAAACTGACCCTAAAACGGTTCCTGGTCCACATCTGAAGGAATCCTCGTAGCATCGGGCATGTGATATTTTTTCTTTGAGGTTGGTGTTTTGCCCCCAAGGTTCAGCACGGAAAAGACCATGTGGTGCAGCAAATGCTCGGGAAGAATCTCGTACGACTACCGGGCCTTCCGGAGCGAGGGGAACTCCAGCTACGTCATGTGCTACGATTGCTGGGAGCAGCAAGAAGACCGGAAGGAGCACGCCTTGCTCGAGTTTGACATGCACTTCTCGCCGGATCCTTGGGGGGGGGCGGCCAGTTTTGAAGCCACAGGAAACGGCTTAATTACGGTTCATGTATAGCAGAGCTTTCCAGTTTACAAAAAGTCTAGGGTTTTGACTGTTTTGACTATATCCGAATTGGGGGGGGGGGGGGGGGGGTTGTTGATGCCGTCAGGACGGAGGCATCAGCGGCAGGGGCCAAGATGACGTTGGGTCCTACAAGCTGCGGGGAAGGCACGGAAAGAGGGTCGGCTCCGTCTCCTTTGCCAAGGTCTACAGCTCCTCCTCACTTGTTTTGGAGGAGTCGAGGGCGAGGTGTCTATTTTCCCTTTTTTTTCGATGCTTCTGTCTTTGAACTTGTCAGAAACGTGTGAAGTTCAATCACTGAACCCTAAGGGGCCCTAGGAGGCCCTTCAACAGTGTAAAGCTGGTGAGAAGTCTCAGGCTCCCATGAGGTCCAGTATCAGGGCCAGATGGTCGGCGCGAACTTAGCGGCGGGCATCAAGGGTACCTGGCACATCCCCGATGCTCGGCGGGAGTCCGGGGCAAGTAAGACCCCTCGTTCCCTACGCAACCCCACAGGAACTAAACCCTAGAACGTAGCCTACATACGGTGACCATTGCAGACCCGGCCTTGGATGCCCTGGAGGGTTCGGTCACTTTCAGGCTCCCTCTCAGGGTCTCGAAGTGAACGGGCAATTTCGTAGGGATGTCTGGGGCTTAAGGCTTGGCTCGCTATTCGTTATGATAGCCTGATGCTTCAGCAACTTAAGCATAGACCTGTGGGAAGGCGCTCCTGCATCCTGGCTTGAGGTGGGTCTGGACCATTCCTTGATGTTCATCGAATACTAGTGTCAGTCATGGTGAACAAGCAAGATGGGGGTCTGGCGAAGTTGTATCATTGTAGCCGGTGTGGTACGCTGACTTGTGATTGTGAAATCCTGAACCGCGCTTCCTGCAAAGCGTATCATCTTAAGTTGGGCATGAATCCGCCACAGGGGGACATTGCTACATTGTTTTGGGGTTCAGCTGATCCGCTAGATGTGGGCTGAGGGAATGGGGGTTTACGATAATAAGGGAGCCCACAGATAAACCCCCAAATTGTAGGATCCACTTCGAACAAGGACCCCGATAAGGTACCCCCAACTATCGTAAACCCCCCCCAAAGAATGCAGGGGGCCTGAGCCGAA